CAGCAGTGGCTCAAATCTCAAGACCTTAGAGCAAAGTTTATGATTAATCTAACTCTAGGATTTGGTTAAATCTTTACTTTTTTTTCTTTTTTTTTTTTTTTTTTAAACTAGCCACGAATAGTTGCCTCTAAATGTGAGCATTTTCAAGCTGAATAAATCCCTCCTCCTTTCTTCTCCATTCCTTAGTGTTGTAAGAGTGATGCGGGAACGTTTAAGTGTTTACACTCACAAGCTTGGGCTCTACAATCTCATCTGCATGCAGTAAAGAGCAGGAACCACCTGCATAAGTCCATGATCCTCAAACCAGTGTAATTGGTTTCACCTGTCCTAGCTTGAAGGGGTTAAAATATTTAGCCACTTTTCATGCAAACAAGTTGTTTGAATTTTCAAACAGATTGTACAATCCTGTCCAAATGGCTATATAGTCTTTTTAATTGGGACAAGCAGGATGTTGGGCAAGTTCTGTGTGCTAGCAAAGGACCTCTCCTTCAAACATACTTCGTAATTCAAACATCACTCCAGCCAAGGCACAAGTCGAACATCACCCAGGGCTAACCAGGAAGCCCCAGATCAGGCGGAGACTCTTTTTTTCCCCAGATCCTTTGGGGTTTCCCTGCCAGAGGGAGGCTGAACAGACAAGCTCCGGAAGAGCTGCCCCGCAGCACAACCTGCTGGCATCTCTCAGCCAAGGCAGGACTGCTCTAAATACATTATCCAGCCCAGCAGCAGCACAGAAAGACAAGGTCCAAGGACACGAAACTACAAGGAAGTCGACCCAAAATGCTGTAGAGCAAAGACCTGCTTTGCCCACAATAACTAGCTATCCAGCAAGACCAAAAAAGTCAAAGCAGAGTCCTAACCCTGAACGACTCAGGCCTATCAGATAGGAATCGTTACAGCTCTAGGCTTTGCTGTTGTTTAGCCTGGTTTCTTCTAGAAAAGCACAAACTTTGTGCAAGATTAAAGCATTTGCTTTTGAACCCACAGGCCAACTTCAGCCAAGCGCAACAAAGGTAGTTAAGTTTCATGAGACTTAAGAGGCCATGGAAAGGAGACTACAGTTGCCCTGGTCAGGGGAGATGCTGCAATATGAACTTGCCTTTAATGCATGCCAGAGAACCCACAGTGGAAAAAGCCCTTAGAAATGCTTCAGCAGGGCAGGGCTCAGGTTTCCTTTTTTGGTGCCAGAAATGAGCAGCCACCAGACAAATCCAGAGAAACCAACTCCACGATACCTCTGTTTCCAGAGCTCCCTGGGTGTTTTCTGACTACGTGCATTAGCTATTTTGAAGGTCATGCTTAAGAGTTCTGCATATGCTCCCCAACTCTCTGGACACCACATGGCATATTGCAAACTCACATTTGCAGTCAAAAAGTTCTTCATTCCTATTATTCCTTTAGATGTTTTAATATTCCATGTCTTCCTTTCTTCTCTGCTGTCTAGAACAACATACTTCTAATACAGGCAATTAAATAAGAGGGAGGTGGCATTTAGAATTAATCTAATCTAAATATAATTCCAGGATGTTCCTGTGTTTTATTGAGAAAGAGGCCATGCAACAGGTTGAAACCCAATGTGCGTCAGATATGCTATGCTTCACAGCAGCGGAATGTTGTTTTTGGCAGTCCCTTGGCAGATGTCTTCTAGATAACTTGGTAGGACCCCGTCTATTGTTATATTGTGAATTCTGCAAGCTAACTTTCAAAGGTGTTGCATTCTCATCTAACATACTCACTATTAACTATTGCAACACTACACCATGAAATGCAATAGGTTTGCTACCATTTGCGGCCTCAAAAGCAAAACAAGCAAAGCCATTCTAGGAGGCTGGCTTTAGCCCAAACAGAAACAATGGGTTGGAGGTAGAAACAACCAAGTGAATGTTTGCTGCTTGTGACCTCCAACACAAAAAGAGCCAGAAGGGAAGAAATCTTAATTGCTTCGGATTTGCATATCAAGCCACCGCTACAGAAGAGCCCTTTAGAGGACTGCACGTGCAATCCACCTTCTATAGTCCCACTGCTCTCCTTCAATGCTCATGAGTAGCTAGAAGCAAAACTGAACCAGCAAAGCTGCCAAATCTTTACAATTGGGTTTCAATGTACAAGCCAGAAAACACACCTTGACTTTCAGAGGCCAGACCCAGTATTTTTATTTTTTAATGCCTAAACTGAGCTAGTACGAGACAAAACCATTAGGATGCAAAGAAAAACCTACTTGACATTTCTCCAGCTGACACTGCACTTTGAGCACCATTGCTAATGGTTTTAAACTAAAAAAGGGTAGATCCATACTAGATATAAGGAAGACATTTTTTATGTTGAGGGTGGTGAAACACTGGAACAGTTTGCCCAGAGAGGTGGTAGATGCCCCACCCCCGGAAACATTCAAGGCCAGGTTGGACAGGGCTCTGAGCAACCTGATCGAGTTGAAGGTGTCCCTGCTCATTGCAGGGGGTTTGGACTAGATGACTTTTAAAGGTCCCTTCTGACCCAAACCATTCTATGATAAGCATTAAGTTCTCTACCTTGTACGCAGAAATGCACTGAGGCAAGACTCGCTCT